GCTGCAGCTTCCACTGGCTTCATCTCACCCCTTCTGCAAATTAGACTCAAGGTTCACCAGACTCTCTCTGCTACCCAAGTCTCCGAAGATAAGACGACTGGACTCCCAGCTCACAACAGAGGGGGGAGCTCTGAACAGGGGAAGAGTTTGTCCCTGCTCCTCCTCTGGGCTCTGGCTCCTGCCTCTCAGAATTACTCTCCTGCCCCAGAGGATTTTCCAATCAGGAATGGGAAAAAGCTTTTTCATCAGTTGCAGATTCAGCCTGCTCTCTTCCTTGGGCGCTTTGGCTAATTAGTGCTGTTCAGAAAAGACTTCTCTCCTGTATGAGAGCATGAGTCGTGTGTGTGTGTGTGTGTGTGTGTGCGCGCGCGGGGGGGGGGTTGTGTGTGTGCACGAGAAAGATGCAGCAGAAGCATCAGCGAGATGGTGATCGCGAGGAAAGGCCAGGCACATCTAGACTGCTTGCTTCTGCCGAAAGATGATCTGCAAATTCAGAGCTAATTTGCATATCTTCTTCTGATCGCGTTATCAGAAGAGATTGTCGAAAAAGAAAGCAGTTTAGAGCGTTTTTTTTGAAAAAAACCCCTTTTTCGAAAGAACCCTTCTTCCCAAAAAGAATGAGGTGTGCAGGGTTCTTTCGAAAAAGGGTTTTTCCCCAAAAGAGCCACATCTAAACTGCTGTCTTTTTCGACAAAACCTCTTCTGATAACACGATTGGAAGATATGTAAATTAGCTCCCAGTTTGCATATCTTCTTTCGGCAGAAGAAATTCATCTAGACGTAGCCCCGGTCTCCTGGGCAGGGAGAAGAGGAGGGAATGTGGGCTTTGCAGCCTCCGGGTAGGAAACCTGAGGTCAGAAACAAAATGGCCGCCTGGGCACCAGGGGCCTGTTTAAAAAGTGTGTCAGGGCCCTTCAGAGGGATTTTCCTGAGCTCGTGGCTTGTCTTCATATGGCTGGTTACGTTAATGCTCTGGGCTTTTGTTGGGATTAGTGAGATCTGCTTATGCTCACCAGGGAGGAAAGTAAGGGTCAAAACCAGATTCGCCATGTGGGATCTTACATGAAACAAGAACGATCAGAGAGAGCGAAGGGAAAGGAACGTGCTGCAGCCTCTATGTGGCCTGGTTACCCGTCCGCAGAGCTAAGGCAGGAAGTGGCAGGGCAGGTCTAAATGTGCTCTCACTGCTGACCTGCCCCTGTGCATTGTCCAGCTAGCCCGTGGCCTTGTGATGATGGTAAACGAAGACTGGAGCATCCTCTTCCCCCCACTGAGACCCAGCACTGCAGACGACATTGCGCTGCGCTCCCAAAGAGGACGTATTTTCAGACTCCGATAAGTGCGCACCATGTCGCACGCGTTACAGGGACAGAATTGTCCCCTGGAGGCAGTATGAGGCTGTTCCCGACATGTCTCCGGATGCTGAGGCAGCGAGGGGAGCAGAAGCAAGCAGTAATGGGCCTTCATAGCGCAGTAGCTTAGCGTGGGCTTTTGCTAGTTTGCAGTGTCTTGTGACCCCCACCCTTGAAATCTCTCTGGGGATTCTCCTGGAGTTCTTCTGGTCTTTAGACTTCACCAGCCCCCCCAAGACTCTTGGCCTTGTAGAGAAGCTGTTTGGCGCAGGAACTATGCCCAGCATGGCACTGAGCAGACTGTCAACACAACCAATAACGAGCTACCATAATCAGCAGGGAGAACTCCCGAAGTGTGGCCCATCAACTTTCACTTGGACTCATCTCTTAGTTGTTTTTTAAAATCCCCTTTACCCCCCGTCCTGCAGCCAAGGGCAAAGTTTCTTCATTGTTACTGTCCTGAGCCACCACACTGCAGGGCTACGTCTAGACTGGCATGATTTTCTGCAAATGCTTTTAATGGAAAAGTTTTTCCGTTAAAAGCATTTGCGGAAAAGAGCATCTAGATTGGCACGGACTCTTTTTCGCAAAAGTGCTTTTGGGGAAAAGCGTCCGTGCCAATCTGGATGCGGTTTTGCGCAAGAAAGCCCTGATCGCCATTTTCACCATTGGGGCTTTTTGCTCAAAACAATACCGCGTTGTCTACACTGGCCCTCTTGCACAAAAGCATTTCCTCAAGAGGGCTTTTGCATTTCCTCTTACATGAGATCGTCAGTGTTCTTGCAGAAATTCAAGCGGCCAGTGTAGACAGCTGGCAAGTTTTTCCGCAAAAGCAGTTGCTTTTGCAGAAAAACTTGTCAGTCTAGACGCAGCCCAGGAGTTCTAACTTCCCTTCGTCACTGGGACTTTGGTATTTTGGGCGGAAAAGTTTCAGACCGACCTGTGGCAATTTGCAGTTGTTTGACTTAGTGATGTAGGCCCTTTCCTCCCTCTCCACGTCTCATCATGAGTCCCTTCCCTGGTTTGTCTCGTCTGGTTCATCCAGGATAAAGCAGGATTTTGATTTCTGTGCATATCAGGTCCCCAATGCCTTAGTTTTCATCTCCCTGACTTTGGGCCTGAGCTAATGCCCACTAACGTCCATAGGGTGGGAGTTCTTTGTATTAGGGTTACCAGGTGTCCGGTTTTCACCCGGACAGTCCAGTATTTGCGGGTTCCATCTGGTTAAAAAACCAGGAAATACCGGACATGTGCAGTGTCCAGTATTTCCCGTTTCCCTGGGACGGAAGCCCAGCGGGGACAATTTTCCCCGCCACGTCTGGTGGGGGCAGGGAGTGAGGAGGGGGCAGAATCTAGTGAGGGGGGCAGTTGCTGGGCGCCAGGCTAGGGGGGTGCCGGGCTGGGAGCGAAGCGCACGCTGCTCAGACCCATGTGACCAGCAGAGACCCGGGAGCTGGCCGTGTGATGCCTCCCTCTACACAACGGAGCCGAGGCAGCCAGGCTGGGGGGCAGGAGCAGCCACTTTAAAAGTCAGATTGTTCCCCTGTGCCTGGCTCTGCGGGGGGAGATTTGATTGGAGCGGGGGCTCCGGACACCGGGGATGCCTAAGGGGGAGTGCACTGG